TTGAATACTTGAGTGGTTGAATACTTGAGTGATTGAATACTTGAATGATTGAATGCTTGAGTGATTGAATACTTGAGTGATTGAATACATGAGTGATAGAATACTTGAGTGATTGAATACTTGAATGATTGAATGCTTGAATGATGGAATGTTTGAATGCTTGAATGATTGAATGCTTGAATGATTGAATACTTGAATACATGAATGCTTGAATACTTGAATACTTGAATTCTTGAATGCTTGAATGCTTGAATACTGGGATAACTGAACGATTGAATAATTGAACCTTCGAAGAGTTAAAAATTCAAATACTTGAATAATAACATAGCTCAATTATTATTACCATATTATTATTACCATAAATTAAAGAATTTAATATGAAATACCTCCTTAAGTAACTACTATTAACAAAATAAAATCAAATATGATAATTCAATTTTTCTCTAAATTAAAAGTTTCATCAAAACTTTTAATAACTCGAATGATTGCCACTGATGTTTCCTTTCGACTCAACAATATTTATCATCTATAATAACTTATCATTTACGAATCGACAGTATCCTGAAAGAATTCCAGCTCCAATCTCTTTTCAATTTCCTTAATTCTTTTTTTCATTATTCACTCGTTAAAGTTTCCGTTCAACGCGTCCAACATTCCGGTCTCCTTCACCGACCCAGTCAACCGCGGCAATACTAGAAAACGGTATTGGACTTCTCGTCTTCGATGAGCTGTTTTATTTTTCTTCCGTATGATTCATTCGATTGAACACGACTTGTGGTTACAAGGACCGGCAATATATTTTCGATATTACGAGTCGACATTCCCGGCTACGCTCCCGCGAGTCTCCTGTATTCTTTACATATATCGCTCTAGCGTGACTGCTCGGTTAGCCGACTTGATAAAATGCCGATGATCCTCTTTGGAATAATACCTCGTTCCGGGCACATTGTGTTGTCCTTGCTGAAAATATTTTCTGAATCGATTTCCTGCTGGAAAAATTAATATTAGGTGTACGAATGTTGGATTTGTAGTCGATGATTGCAAAAAATAGTTAGTTTAATATTTTTGAAATTTCGAGAATTATAAAATTCCAAAATTCCACAATTCCAAATTTCCATAATTCCAAATTTCCAAAATTCCACAATTCCCAAATTCCAAATTTCTAATATTCCAATATTCCAGAATTCCAGAATTCCCCAATTCCATAATTCCAAATTTCTAAAATTCCACAATTCCAAATTTCTAATATTCCAATATTCCACAATTCCACAAATTCACAATCCCGTAATTCCAAATTTCCACAATTCCCAATTTCCGCAATTCCACAATTCCAAATTTCCAATATTCCAATATTCCAGTATCCCAGAATTCCACAAACCACAATTCCATAATTCCAAATTTCTACAATTCCAAACTTCCGCAATTTCAAATTTCCGAAATTCCACAATAACAAATTTCCAATATTCCAATATTCCACAAATCTACAAATTCGCAATCCTGTAATTCCAAATTTCCACAATTCCCAATTTCCGCAATTCCACAATTCCAAATTTCCAATATTCCAATATTCCAGTATCCCAGAATTCCACAATTCCATATTTCCAAGTGTCCACAATTCCAAAATTCCAAAATTCCAAAATTCCAAATTTCCAAAATTCCACAATTCCAAATTTCCAGTATTCCAATATTCCACAAATCTACAAATTCACAATCCCGTAATTCCGAATTTCCACAATTCTCAATTTCCGGAATTCCGCAATTCCAAATTGCCGCAATTCCAAATTTCCAATATTCCAGTATCCCAGAATTCCACAAACCACAATTCCATAATTCCAAATTTCTACAATTCCAAACTTCCGCAATTTCAAATTTCCGAAATTCCACAATAACAAATTTCCAATATTCCAATATTCCACAAATCTACAAATTCGCAATCCTGTAATTCCAAATTTCCACAATTCCCAATTTCCGCAATTCCACAATTCCAAATTGCCGCAATTCCAAATTTCCAATATTCCAGTATCCCAGAATTCCACAAACCACAATTCCATAATTCCAAATTTCTACAATTCCAAACTTCCGCAATTTCAAATTTCCAAAATTCCCAAATCCCAAAATTCCAATATTCAAAAATTCCTAAATTTCCAAAATTCTAAAATTCCGAAATTGCATATTTCTAAAATTCCAAAATTCGGAAATTTCGAAAATCCCAAAATTGCATTGCCTAACGAAATAAAAAAAATGAATCCTTAAAACATTGACACATCGTTTCATTACACGCAATTCTCCCATAAAAAAAAATCAAATGCATATTATAAATATTTATTAACATATTTTCGATCGTTCGGTAGAATTATAGTAACGAACACGAAGGCCATAACTTTCCGATTTTTGTGCTCATGGACGTGTTCATATAGCGGATGTTCTTAAAATAATTTTCGCATGGCGTTACTAAAAGTAGTTATAAGAGGAAAGGGCCATAGAAAGGAATTGAAGTTCAGTGTTGCCAGGCTTCATAAATTTCCATAATAAAGCCAAGCTGTACTTCATAATTGTGTTCCATAAAACATACATAAATCGTTTGATTTATTAGCTTTCACAGGACCATTAAATTACATTTTTTCGCTTTTAACAACGAGCCCTCCAAGTGAAACTAGACACATTTATTATGAAACTGCGCCGGTCGACAAGTTCGCAACAGCTGCAAACACGCAATTTAAGGAGCATAAAGTTTTACTTAAAGTTTGTTATGATTTGCAGACGTACGCCGTACTTCCGGCTCGTCATTAGAATTACTGGAATTGTAATTTGTAACATCCGTCTTCATTTTAATTGCTTTACTACTCTATATTGAATATTTAAACGATGTCTCTCTTACCGATGCAAGTATTGAATAATTAAATCATATTTAATATCGAATGTTTATTATAAATATTTGTTAGCATCTAATACATTGAAAATATTATTTTCTTACTATTTTTATTTAGCTTATTAATAAACATATTCAATATATATATTTTTTTTTTTTTTTAATTTTTCATTATATTGTCATGAAGCAGTAGCAGCAGAAAACTTATATAAATATAGAGACAAGTTTTAAAATTTGGAAGTTTTGGAAAATTGTAAATGTGAGTTTATATATATGCAAATGAAGAATTAGAAACTTAAAAAATTCTCAATTTGAAAAATTTCGAATTTGAAAATTTAAAAATTTATTAGCTCCTTATCACTTGTTATACCCATCACTACTCTAACAATTCTTGCTGGATATTTTTACAGTTGTCAATGCAAAAGGAGATCTTAAAATTGAAGAGTTTATCAATCTGCAAGCTTGAAGAGTTGTAAACTTGCAAATTTTTCTAATTGACAATTTGTGAATTTGAAAGCTTGAAAATTTAAAAATTTATTAGCTCGTTTGCACTTGTTATACCCATCACTACTCTAACAATTCTTGCTGAATATTTTTACAATTGTCAATGCAAGAGGAGATCTTAAAACTGAACAGTTTATAAATCTGCAAGCTTGAAGAGTTGTAAACTTGCAAATTTTCCTATTTGACAATTTGTGAATTTGGAAGATTGAAAATTAATAAATTTATTAGCTCCTTTGCATTTGTTATACCAATCACTACTCTAACAATTATTGCTGAAAATTTTTGCAATTGTCAATGCAAGAGGAGATCTTAAAATTGAAGAATTTATAAATCTGCAAGCTTGAAGAGTTGTACACTTGCAAATTTTCCTGTTTGACAATTTGTGATTTTAGAAGCTTGAAAATGAATAAATTTATTAGCTCCTTTGCACTTGTTATACCCATCACTACTCTAACTCGTTATACCCATCACTGCTCTAAGTTTCTAAATACTTTTACAAGTAAAAATAAATCTTAAAATTGAAGAGTTTATAAATTTACAAACTTAAAAAATTGTAAACCTGCAAATTTTCCTATTTGAAAATTTTAGAATTTGAAAGCTTGAAACTTAAAAAAATTAAAAAATATAGTACCCAATAAGTCTATCGCCACTTTAACCTCGGATAAGTCCCTCCCTGTATAAGTATGATCGTATACCCATATCAGCAGCAAGACCACAGGATCTAAAGTACAAGTAATCAATTAGCAAATACTGATACAGGCCATCAGTACCAATCCCATACCCCCATGTTGCGCAATGGAAATTAGTCTTAGACGTGTAGACAATGGAGGATTTCAGATAATAACGTGCAGTTGATCTGATTAGTACATTACCTAATAAATGGCTACTGCCTACCAATCAATTACTACCACTGTATTTGATCGTCTGATCGAGACAGACAATTATATCGATTAGGTAATATCAGAAATGAGGCAACGAAGGGTGATGCAAAGGGTTTGCAACCGTGTCAACCAGGTTTACGAGCTGATCCGGAGTTGGAAGCGTGATACAATTTGTTTCTACTAACATTAGCTGCGCAAAGATAGTTAATTAGGCGGTACTGTTACCGATGCTAATTAACGGATGCGTTGACGCTAATACAATATACTCTCGTAACTAGAGGTGAGAGGATTTTGGAGGCGAAGTAACTAACGGTACGCTTCAATTATCCATTAATGGAACACGATGGTACAATTCCGTTATTTGCGAGATTGCGAGGTACTGCACTTTCACTGGTTAAATTTTCTTTTGTTCAACGTAAGCTGCCGTCAATTGTTTGTACTTGCAATTGACATTTGATGAACATTTTATATTCAGCCTTTGAGACTCGTTTAAACTCTGCAATTGTAGGACGAATTATCAAGATCTAACCTCAAACTGTGTTAACCTTAAACCACAACAAAAGTCACTATATAATATCACCAATATAATAGCCACTTATCAAACGATAAAATTTAACTTGTAACATGTCTCAAGAAATGAAAAAATGTTACAAAATAACATATGTGTACGTCAATTTAAGGTTTAACATTTGATGAAAGTGTACTTTGCTGGTACTTACGAGTCTTCTTTCTTTGTGTTGTTTCAGAGCAAGGACAGAACACAAACAAGAAAAAGACAACATTTTCGAGACTACTTCGAGGACTAAAGACGCACAGGAAAGAGAAACAAGCACAAACTCAAGGTTCCCCGAGGCATGGTCGTGCAAGGATGGGTGTACCTCAAAGAGTAAGTGTGTATCTGTGTACAGAAACGTAATCCCATTTAAACCGGAAGTTGATTCAGATTTCCCGCGTAATCTTCGCTCGACAGCAATTTAGACTCTGTTTCTTTACTTCGCTAGTTTCTGTGAGTATTTCTTTATTTGTTTTATTCTTCATGTTTATACTGTGATCATTATTTAAAGCTTAACTGAAGTTGCCATGAGTTTTAACAACTTTATTAGAATAATATAATTAATGTTTAAAAATAATATTAATTAATAACTAATTTTGTTATATAAATTAATTTTATAATTACTGTTTAGGGAGTAGCTTTGTAAGATAATAAAGTATGCTTGTCTATTAAATTATATTGTAAAATTATATTATAATTCAACACTATAACTAATTTAAAAAAAAAACTGTATAATTCAACTGCAAATATTTTAAACAATATAAATTAATAATTAATTAAATTGTAAGAAGCAGAGCTCTACAAAATAACATGTTTAAAAAACATTCATAACAAAGAACTACCATAATTTTTTCCCAAATTTAAATTTGAAATTTTCAAAAAAATTAAATGAATAATAAATGCATAAATTTGTATAAATAATTAGATGAATTAGCATCAGATGCTCTAATAAAATTATATTTAAATTATGAAAAATTGTTATAATTAAATTGTAAAAAATAGAGTTCTACAAAATAACATGTTTAAAAAACATTCATAACAAAGAACTACCATAATTTTTTCCCAAATTTAAATTTGAAATGTTCAAAAAAATTAAACAAATAATAAATTCATAAATTTGTATGAATAATTAAATCATTTGACACCAGATGCACTAATAAAATTATATTTAAATTATGAAAAATTGTTATAAAGTTATATTAAATTGTATGAATATAAAATTATAGCAGTTTGTAAAATACAATCGAAGATCGAAAACAACAGCAGACAGGAATTTCATAGACACATGGGAAATCGAGGTAACCATTATTTTCGGTTCATTGACAAAGAAACTTGTATGCATCAGCGAAGCGAACCGTTCACCTCCGAGGATTAAAACTCCTCAAGATTTCCCAGGTGTCATCGATCGCTAAATTCTTCTATGCTGACGATCCAGACTCTGGAAATTACGATGCAACGTCTAATTTCATTTATGAGTTTCTTCTGGGATGAACACGTAATCGATGAACAGTTGTCCTTCGTTATTCACGGTTTCAATGATTTTTCTTTCAATTACAAATGGTTCCAATCTACTCCAATCATAACTAATTTTGTTAAATACTTGACAGAATATATAATAAATAAAAGCTGAATATCTAGAGATATTTAGAATTGTATCCTAATAACCTAAATATCTAATAATTATTTAGGTCTGTTAAAAATAAAGCTACCGTCACTGTTTCCGGTGAATCCAACATTCTGAACCAAGAAAGATTTATATTTGTTCTACTCGTTCATTATTCAAGAACGTACTTTGTTACCCAGTAATAGCTAATTGCCTTAAATGCTTGCCAAAATATGTAATAAAGAAGAACTATCGTCAGAATAATTAATCAGGTCCATTAAAAATAAAGCCACTATCCATTACACTTTCCGAATTCAATCTAGCGAAGTGTTAAACAATTCTGAATCCAAAAAAGCGTCATTTATATTTGTTACACTCGTCCATTATTCGAGAACCGAATCACGATAAATTATATTTAATAGCTTTCAGAATCTGTAATAAGTAAAAGCTGAATAATTAATTAGGTCAGTCAGAAATAAAGTTACTATTCGAATGTGGTAAAGCAAGCCAAGAAAAGAATTTGTTTGATGTTATAATTAAACGTCATCTCGATTATAGTTATCGAGTGAGATTGATGAAGTAACTGCAGAATTTCTTCATCATCCTCCACTCGAGGTCCTTTTATCTTTAGGCTAAAACACGACAGGTACATCATCATATGGCGGCAGAGAGATCAGACACATAACCCCCTAAACGGCCACTCAAAGACATTCCTCTCGCTTTGACCTTGGCACAAAGTATCACGAACCTTGATAGTACTTGGAATGAAATTTCCTCGAGAGCCCTCGATAAAGCACTTGTATGCCAGTAGAGCGTCGTTTTCGACTCTCGGCTTCGGAACCTCTGACCATTCTGCGATCAGTAGAACCACTCAACATTGGGCCACAAATTCCATGACTATACTAGAGAGAAGAATCCAGCTACGATGGCGCATCACGAACGAAAATTCAATTATGAACGGATGCTGGAACGATTCGTTGCATAAGCTATGACGAGAGGACGGGTAGAGGAGGCATTTCATGGCTAAAGATCATCAACCATGGTCAGTGGCCTTTGCGTGGCGGAAAATGTCTGACCTGTGATGTCTGATACATAAATTGGCTTTTAACGCGTTGGCCTCAGACGATATGGACGTTTATTGTATTGCCGTTAGGGAATATTTGGTCTGAGGTTTTATGGCTTATTAAGATTTTGTTATTAATTGAATTTTGTGTGCAATTACTATTTTATGTGATTATCTCTTATACAACTTGTATGTGGAAGTATAACCTTGTATAATTATATATGATGCTATAAACTTATACAATTACATATGGGACTGTAACCTTACATATGGAGGTATGATTATATGTGGAAGAATATTATACGATTATTATATTTCAACCTTATACGATTGTATGTATAATTACAATGTTATTAAGATTACTTTACTGCAACATATTAACTGTTTTTGGACGTCTAAGAATTATTAATCATGGCAATTAGTGATGTTAAATGGAGAATGTCGAGAACGGGGAAGTTAGCAAGAGTCAGGCTAGAGGGCGCCACTAGCGCATCAAACTAAAATGGCGGACATTGTTAGAAACTGTGCTTACATAGTATAAGATTCATAAAATATGACAGGAACAAATTTAATAGTAAAAATACATGTACATATATAATAGCAGATAATGATTAATAATATACATAACTATTCTTGTCATATAGCTAAAGATTCTTATGTTATTTGAATACAATTATTATTAAGGAAAGAGTAATATATTATAACATTTTTAAAATAATGTGATTAAAAATCAGCTATAAATATTACTAAAATCACTCTCAATTTCAGTTAAATAATAGACTTTCAGATTTTGTATATATTATATTAAAATTCATAATTTATGATGCATTGTGCAGTGCATTCTTCGTCCATTTTCAATCATGATAGTCTGAAATCAAAGCTAAATGGTGATTATATAAGAAGGAAGAATTTAGAATATCTTTGACAATATCAAGATTGTCGATGTTGATGAAATCCTATAATTAATAAAATACTTAAGAGGGGCAATGCCTTTAGAATCTTAAAAAATTACAAAATTTTTTTCTATAAAATGTTAGTGTAACATCTTAAAAATATTGTCTCAACTTTTTAAAGTGAAATACGAAACCCTTTTGAAATTATGGCCGATTAGCGCCGCGGGTATTTACGCGTTCAGTGCGGAGGATTGAAACTTTAAACGCGTTTTTCTCAAAACTACGTTCTTAAAATTGCCGTGGCTGATAACTCAAAAACTAGTTTATCAATCGCGCTCAAATTTTTTGCACTTATCCATGATAATAGTATCTAACATATGAACCTAAATACATGAAATAAATTGAACATTAAAATCCTTTTTATTGCAAAACATTGCAAAAATTTTCAATAAAATTCAAAGTTTTTCTTTAAAAGCGCGCCATTTCTTCAATTCTACACATTTTGCACATTTCTGAGTTTCATCTACTAACTGTGAATGTTACTTTTCGAAACATTGTCTGCAAACATGCTTCAGACCAATATATCTAAAGCTAGAACGATTCACGAGACACGCCAAAACACTTCCAGAAAGGATTGTCATAATTCCGGCATTTTTAAATATTTTGCAAAACAGGAAATATTCTTTAATAGGCAATAGTTATAATAAATTATACCCAAAATTTCGAAAATGCAAAACAAATGTGTCCTATAAAAAAAAATTCACAAATATCAGCTTATTTTCATCTGTCTAAAGGTATTGCCCCTCTTGAGTTAATTAAACGTGGCCTAACAGTCACGAATTTCTGCAGTATCAGTCCAGTTTCCGACAAGCACCGATGGACTATTATTATCGTGAATACTGTCGCCATAACAAGGTACGATCATACAAGTCGGTATCGTAACCACAGTCAGCTCCGCGTCCAGTCGGTTCAGGACGCCTGATAGCTGTAATGGAAGGCATCCAACGAGTTCTCGCAGGCCGCGTACAGGACAGCGATTCTAACAGAACAGAATATTGCAAACTGTCAACAGTGTCGTACGTCTGTCCCTTGTCGACACCACTGACCGCACATTGCCGTTCATCTTGTTTCAAGCTTGACTCCTGCCAGTAATCCTACAATCTGCAGCGTGTATGGACGTCCGACAACAAAACAATATACTGTAATCCCTCGTATTTTACAGTTTTCGTCTCTACGGCTTTCGGTTATTAGAGACTTCGATTATCCGCGGTTCTAACTGCGATTTTAGTTATGGTTTCGATCAGCCGGTTTTAGTTGCGGGGGCTTTCGATTATACACCTCTATCTACGACTTTAGGCCTTCGACCGCGGTAGGTATCTAGTTATGGATGATTTCAGTTATATATATTTCAGTTAGTATGTAGAATAAACTACATCAATCTTCTAAACATATAATTCTTTTTATATTTGTCAGTATCGAAAATTTTCTTCAGTTTTTTCTGGGACATTGAACATCGATTTCTATACAAAAACAATACTTAGACTCGGAAAGATCGTATGCTATCGATATTTTTCTACGAAATGAAACGTAAACTCCTATATGAAAGAAATAATTATATTCTAATAAAAATGGAAAAATTTCAATCTCCCCAAGTATTTTTGTAAGGAACGTTTCTTCGAACGGAATAATTACTTTCGAAAGAATGGAAAAGTTTCGAACTTTCTCATAGCCCGATATTTTTCTACGAGATGAAATGTAAATTTCTATACGAACA